GGGGGGGGGGGACCCGGAGAACCCGGAGAAAAAAAACCGAAGCACTGGAGAGAACCAACAAAAACCTCTTCTCACATACATGGAGCGTACGTGGGGTTTGGTAATGAAACCAAGGTTGCATTGTTGAGCAAGCTCACATCGTTACGCTTATCGATAACGTAATCCTCCAAAAAAAGCCATGGCCTTAGATTTGTTTAACGAGTCTCGGGATGACGTCAATACTAGTACCTTAAGGGTCGTAGTGTCCTCAAGGCTCGAAACACCCTCAGTACGCCAAGAATGTTGTTTTGACTGTCGGTGGATAACGTCACAATGACGTCAATCCAGGAGACGATAACAAGGAAACCATCCATGACGTTCCAACCGCTTCGAAGATAGGCGTCTTCACCAATCCACATCCCCTTGGCAACCACCTGGAAAGAGAGGTCACGAGAAACCTTATTAAGGGAGCGTGACAGAGAGAGCGTGACAGTCACACTTGACACCCTTGGCTAACCATTTGTAGTTATCTTTAAGATACGAAGTATTTTATTCCCAATATGTTAATGACTATGACGTAACATAAGGCATCATTTAATATACAGCACTGCACTCGTACTGAAATACAGTATTTTAAAAGCATCACCCTTTTACTCGTGACTCACGTAAAGGTTCTTACAAATTTGTTCTCAAAAAATGTCCAGCATTCAATATTAAAAGTTGCCACAAAATAATTCAAATCCCTTATGTTACGTCATAGTCGTTAACATATTGGAAATATAAACCTTCGTATCTCAAAGACCCGACATTCAAATGACGAATTATTTTCACAATCAACTATTCACTATTTAAAGAATCAATTCTGAAAATATTGTGTAAAGGCTTATAAGCACTTTAAAGTAAGGCGGCACTTTCTATTTAGATATTTTAAGACGTGGATATAATTATGAGAGGAAATCGTTAAATTTCCCATAACCGTGCAATGGACCTCTTAACCTTGGGTGTACTATTTTCTCATTTCAGACCACGTGTCATTCTCTTGGGAATAAGATTCTTTGTTTGAGTTGTATTCATATTCATGTCTCTTCTCATTAAACCATTAAACAAAGAAATAATACTCTAGAGAAGTGACATGTGGTCTGGAATGGGAAGACATTACGCCCAAGATAAAGAGGTCTATTTCATATATTCCAGTGCACTTGATTTATTTTTTAAAAAACTGGGATTTTTCTCCACACAAAATGTACTGACCTTGATCATCATTTCCAAGGTGAAGATGGCAAGAAATATATACATAAAGATGTCAATCCATCGACGTTCCTGTTCAAAATTAAGAGCTGTAAATTACTAATTTATCAATATTCATTAGTAATCAATTTTAAAAACAACACAACACTTTTAAATTTGAAAGACATGTTTCGATTTGTCACAAAGCCATCTTCAGTTAAGTGAAGCTAATTACAATTCACAAGGTTATGTATAGGCGTTTTCAAAAGTATAAAATTACATGTCTTTCAAATTTAAAAGTGTTGTGTTGTTTTTAAAATTGATTTGTTCTTTTGTGCTATTACGCTCATATGGAAATACTATTCATTAGTAATCCTATTGGTGTAGAAGTAGTGCGCCTCTCAACTCTAGACTTGGCATGACGTGTTATTAGACTTTGTGAGGTTCTTTACTGATTCAAGACTTTTTCTCCTCGTGCAAAAAACGTTAAATTACGATTGTACCATGCCATGCCCTGACTTAAATCGGCGAAGAGGATGTTTCAGGGAACGACAAAATTGATGTATGGTTTTCGTTCAGAACTGATTTCCTTACATAACTCGATAAGTTTAAAAACTGCTATTGTGTGTCGTATACATGTAGTCTGTTACCGAAAAGTGAAGGCTTCGTGCTCGTTACTCACCATACTTCCTTCCTTCACAGAAGGTCCCTCCAGAGCCATGACAACACAGTTTAGTAAGATAAAGAACAAGACGACTCTGTCGAACCATTTATTCTTGTAGATCATCATATTTAGTGCACGAAATCTAAACAACAAAAAATAATGTTCTTGAAAACACTGAAGGAAGTGCGTTTGATAACGGGGTTGTGTCCAGGACCTTCTGGAGGAAGGGGGGGGGGGGGCTACTATTCTCAACAATCACCCCTCCCTCCCAAAATCACTCCTCTCTCCCAAAATGCACATAATAAGACTGTCGATAGAAATGGGGTGATATGGACCCCTTAATCACGACCACACCATGTCTCATTCAAGCTCCCAAGACAGTAAAGGGTAACGTCTGATATATCGATAAATAAATAAATTTGAACACACCAGTTCTGCTTTCGATGCATACCGCTGTTTTTGAAGACCACAGACTCATTTACACAGGCTTTACCTCGTTTATAAGTCAGCTATTCACAGAAACCATTAAAAGTCCATGGGATTTCAAAACATTGGTATTGTTCAAGCTGCACATTCTTTACATTAAAGTTGACTTTTGCTAATGATTTGCTCTTAAATGAGGTTAAGCCTGTGTAGATGAGTCTTCAGTCATAAAACAAAGTGGTATTTACCGAATAAGAAAAGGTACTATTGCAGAGGTAGAACGTAGGGGAGATGTTTCTTACTTGTTGTCGGGAGAGAAGATGAACAAGGACCAATCAGATCGCTTGGCACAGCATCGAGACGATGCCTTAACTGACTCATCCGGGCTCTTTTCTTCCTCTGTCTGCAATATACATGTATTTAATTTCAATTATTCGTTGTGATGAAAAAGTCTGGCTGAAAGAAAGGTAACCGAGTGCTGTGATTGGTTCATTTAACACTAGATAACTTACCTTAGTATCTTTGCCCTCTGTCCAAGTCCCTTCCTCCTCTTCATCCTGAGAAGGACTGGTAACAAACACCTCCGTTCTTCCCTTTGGTGGAAAAAACTTGCCAAATTTCCGCGACGGACTGGGCGATAGACAACTTCGTGGAGCAGCCGGTGCTACTTCGGGATACCGACTTTTAGACATAACAGGTAGCGAAGACCTACGAGTGTAGATCTTTGAGCCATCGTATGTTTTGCATCCCAATTGATCCACATAGTAGACAGATGGTGTTGGACTGATACATACGCGGGGTTTACTGCCGCCATAATACTTCGATTGTTGTTCTAGAGAACACTCTTGTCGCTTCGCTATCTGGTTTTCAAATTTGGGAATGGTAGCCTGCCTGAGGTTGACCGAACTCTCTCCTTTATCCTGCAAAACAATTATATATACGATATTAGCAGAGAGATATTTGTGATGGTCGAAGGATTGATGGTCGTTCAAGAGAGGTAAGTGGTGCCTTACAATTAGGGATCGAAGAATAGACGGTCGATCTAGAGAGGCCAGTGGTGCCTTACAATTAGGGATCGAAGGATTGATGGTCGATCTAGAGAGGTCTGTGGTACCTTACAATTAGGGATCAAAGGATTGGTGGTCGATCAAGAGAGGTCAGTGGTGCTTTATAATTAGGGATCGAAGGATAGATGGTCGATCTAGAGAGGTCAGTGGTGCCTTGGTTGTCTATCCAACAGTCTTACCGGTTGGTTTGCGAATCCCTCGACCAGTATGGCCACGAGTAAGTTAAACAGAATGTAGTTCCCAATAGTCATCAACAAAATGAAGTAAAGCCCCGCCCACTTCCCGATCGCTCGCATTCCATTGGTCATCACAACATTCCAGTCTTCTTGCGTCAGAACCTGTGCGAAAAAAAAACCAATCAGAATCTTCTATATGTGACGTCATAGCTGCCATATTGGCTAAATGGAACAAAAGATTTTGGTCTTGCTCTTTTATCTCAACCAACATGGCGGCCGTACGGCAACGCGTACGGCAACGCGGGCGACATCGTCGGCGAAATTGAATCGCTTCAACCTCCTATTGTATTATTATTTCAGTTTTGTCTAGTATTTTACTCAATAGGCGCCCCAGCCGAGTTTTAGAGTGAAATGCACAGGAGAGATCAAATAGACTCTGCTCTCACATGACACATGGCTGTGGTAATCTCTCTTAAAAAGACATTCTCGATTACTGGCTCGATCACTTAGCCTATTCCAACAAAATCAAGGGCTGCCTTCTTCCTTATATACTTATTTGATTTCATTCTTAATAATGGCTTTTAGGTGTGTTTTTACCTGAAACACTGTGACAATAGCCCAAAACAGGTCGTCAAAGTTTGCTCTTGCATCCTCATCAGGGAAATTATATTTCCCTCCGAATAAGTTCATTCCTAGAATGCTTGCGGTGAAGATGAAGATGCAGAGAAGAGCAAGGAATGTCATGACATTGTCGAGGGTGTGAATCATGACGAGTAGCTGGCGCTTCAGGGCGGGAAGGAACCGGACGATTTTGAAGATACGAAGGAGACGAAAGGAGCGGAGGACGGAGATACTGTTGTTGCCGTCACCAAATAGCTCAACGATACTAGGAAAAAAGGAAAATATGTGGGTAAAGAGGGTAAAAACCAACCCACCAACCCACCCA